TTCCTTCTTTCCTCAGAATGGACCAAACTGTTGATTTGGCCGCTCCTAATGTTGCTGCGATCTCTCTGATGGATTTGTTTTGTTTTTGAAGCCTTACAATGGCCTGTTTCACTTGCATGGACGGCTCCTTTGAACACATGATGTAGGTTCACAGCAATAGATTCCAAATGCAAATCCCGCACTTAGAATCAACTCCAGACCTTCTACCTGCTTAACTGATGAAGAAATAACAAAGGAGTAGCCCACACCTGGCCATGAAACAGCTTTTGTTTCAACTGTCCAATTACTTTTGGTCCCTTGGAAAAGGGGGGATGGCTATTCTTAAGAGCTGTAATTCCTGAACCCCTCCTCCAATGTGGATGTACATACCCTCAAATTAAACCTGAGAGTGCGTACTGTCCGCCCATAGCCATTATAGAACTATAGCTGGAATATGTTTTTGTAAATACCTGAAAAAATATAAAATTGTGCCTGTGTCCAAATATATATGGACCTAACTCTCTTATTTGGGAACATCCAACTAATTCAAGATGGCCGCACCTAGAAATCCTGGGGGGTGGGGGGGGGGGGAGGGTGTTGTTTTTCAACATGATTTCCTCAACTAAATAAAACACGGAGGGATGGGAGGAGTTTGCTTTGGATATTAAAAATGAATTGAAAAGCGTTTTCGGGTTTTGGCGCTCGGATGCCGCGTAGCTCCTGCTTTAATAAATACATGTGAGCCGTCTTCCGGCTTTCCCATCTACAAAAGACGCGGCAGCTGACCTGTGTGACACCAGGAATGTGTGGCACATGAACGTTCGCTCGCAGTTTAACTGCTGCAGCTCTTCCAGCAGGACATCTCCCATAGTGCACTGCAGCAGACGTGGCACCTCCTCGTTCTTATCGCCATCAAACATGCCGTACAGAGCCTCCACGCCATCGGCAAAGTCGCTCACCGCCAGCGAGGAAACGCAGAGCCTGCAGGAAGGACAGATGATGAACAACACTGCTGCACTCACTAAAAGTTCATGTCAAAAATGCCAACGGCACTCACTTGTTCCTCTGTCCGGACATCTCTGCCAAGCCATGATTGCAGGAGATGGAGGGCGCTGGCAGGTCAGAATTTGGCAAAGTTTTGTTGTCAATTTTCAGGATGGGGATGTGACTAGACAGAGAGATCAACAGAATACCAGAATTATGCACATGACCTTAAAAAATGAATAAAAACAAAAAAAAACTGATTATTGCAAGCACCCCTGTCAGTGGTAAATGGTTTGTCTCAACCCTATAAATGCTACATCTGCAAGACAGCCTGTTCTGTTGAGAAACAACAGACTTACTGGACAGATTACCGGGTAAAAAAGAAAGAAAGCCTAAAAATTAAAACTAATGCAGCCACCACATCTAGTAGAGCAGATATAGCGAATTGCGGGGTCTGGGGAGAGCGGATGTAGTGAATGCAGGGTCCGGAGAGAGGGGATATAGTGAATGCGGGGTCCGGGGAGAGCGGATATAGTGAATGCAGGGTCCGGAGAGAGGGGATATAGTGAATGCGGGGTCCGGGGAGAGCGGATATAGTGAATTGCGGGGTCTGGGGAGAGCGGATATAGTGAATGTGGGGTCCGGGGAGAGCGGATGTAGTGAATGCAGGGTCCGGAGAGAGTGGATACAGTGAATGCAGGGTCCGGGGAGAGCGGATACAGTGAATGCGGGGTCCAGGGAGAGCGGATACAGTGAATGCGGGGTCCGGGGAGAGCGGATATAGTGAATGCGGGGACGGGAAGAGCGGATATAGTGAATGCGGGGTCCGGGGAGAGCGGATATAGTGAATGTGGGGACGGGAAGAAGCGGATATAGTGAATGCGGGGTCCGGGGAGAGCGGATATAGTGAATGCGGGGACGGGGAGAGCGGATATAGTGGGGAGAATATACGGGGTCCGGGGAGAGCGGATATAGTGAATGCGGGGTCCGGGGAGAGCGGATATAGTGAATGCGGGGTCCGGGGAGAGCGGATATAGTGAATGCGGGGTCCGGGGAGAGCGGATATAGTGAATGCGGGGTCCGGGGAGAGCGGATATAGTGAATGCGGGGTCCGGGGAGAGCGGATATAGTGAATGCGGGGACGGGGAGAGCGCATATAGTGAATGCAGGGACGGGGAGAGCGGATATAGTGAATGCGGGGTCCGGGGAGAGCGGATATAGTGAATGCGGGGTCCGGGGAGAGCGGATATAGTGAATGCGGGGACGGGGAGAGCGGATATAGTGAATACTTTTAGTGGTAACAGTAACTCTGAAGGGATTGGATAGAAGTAGGCAGGGGAGCGATTTTCTCCTTTGCCCACCCCCCGCCATGGCACCTAGAGCATATTGTGAGAAACTGCTATTGGCGAGGCCGATATAATCTGCAGACGGTGATGTCCTACTACCTGAAGATATCATGCAGCTGATGATCCAGCACCAGGTCAACGTTCCCTTTCAGGTCCAGCTCGTGAAGGACAGGAGGCAGGCTCTCCGGGGCCGCAATCTCCACCAGGCTGTTACAGCTCAGGTCAACCAGCTGCAGGAACAAAGAGCAGCAACATCTCATGCCATAGGCCGAGTGAGTGACAATGAGATGACACCATGTACACAAGTCTACAGCTGTAGCACAGCCTGCAGGGGTAAGAGAGGGGAATGGGGGGTGGAGACAAAGAGGGGATCAGAGCGAGAAGTGGACAGCTGGGAGAGGTCATGTAAGGTTGAAGATGAAGTGAGACCTGGATCAGTGGCAGGTTGAAGATCTCCGGGAAGACGCTGAGGCAGTTGGAGTGAGCGATGAGCGTGTGCAGCCGCTTGAGGTTGGACACCGTGCTGGGGATCGACTTCAGCCGATTACCACTAAGGTTCAGCTCCTCCAGGAACTCCAGCTTGTTGAGCTTGCTACAAGAGGACAGATTACAGGTGAGGACCCCGGAATTAGAACCTACATGACTACAAAATTCTGTATACAGAAGTCTTCAAAGTAGACCTTTAGTTGTCCCCAGCTCCTCCAGGAACTCTAGCTTGTTGAGCTTGCTACAAGAGGACAGATTACGGGTGAGGACCCCGGAATTAGAGCCTACATGACTACAAAATTCCGTATACAGAAGTCTTCAAAGTAGACCTTTAGTTGTCCCCAGCTCCTCCAGGAACTCTAGCTCGTTGAGCTTGCTACAAGAGGACAGATTACAGGTGAGGACCCCAGAATTAGAGCCTACATGACTACAAAATTCTGTATACAGAAGTCTTCAAAGTAGACCTTTAGTTGTCCCCAGCTCCTCCAGGAACTCTAGCTTGTTGAGCTTGCTACAAGAGGACAGATTATGGGTGAGGACCCCGGAATTAGAGCCTACATGACTACAAAATTCTGTATACAGAAGTCTTCAAAGTAGACCTTTAGTTGTCCCCAGCTCCTCCAGGAACTCTAGCTCGTTGAGCTTGCTACAAGAGGACAGATTACAGGTGAGGACCCCGGAATTAGAGCCTACATGACTACAAAATTCTGTATACAGAAGTCTTCAAAGTAGACCTTTAGTTGTCACCAGACCAGAGGTGGAGCAGAAATATCAGTATGAGGCCACCTGTTCCTGTGACAACGGTCTGAGGTTTGAACATTACTTTTGAGAAGATCTTCACTTGCTTCCTGTCACATTTCCAGAAGGTAAAGCTGAATTCCAAGAATTCAGCTTCTTTGTAAAAACTGCAGGCATACCGTGAGGCAAGTCTAAGGAGGTGCCTGCTGTCTGGTAGACTAATCTCTATTATTCACATCTGACAGGTTTATTGTGCTCCAGGAAGATAACTTCTGGAGCTCCAACGCTGCTCATAGTGGTCCTTTAATAGCAGAGTCGCTGGAGCGGCTATATGTCTGCCTCTCCTTCTGCGCATTCACAGAAGCCTTTGTATTATGTGAACTCATTCGCAAAACACAAAGGCTTCTGTGAATGGGCAGCAGAGGTGAAGGATGGGCATACATGCTGTGTGCTTCTCTCCTCTCAAAGTCGGAGTGTAAACCCGTCACAAATAAGTAATAAAGTCCCAGAGATGACATGCACCTAACTGGACTTCACTCTCTCCGGCAACAATGACTATTTTTAATCCTTCTGCTGCTAACATTAGTAAATAGTGAAATGTATACCTTATGGCGCCGCTCCAAGCTATGGATGGAAGGAAAAGAACCACCCCACCGCCAAAAAGTATTCTACTATATAAAAACGGATGTAAATGGTGAAAAAAAAGGATGTAAAAGGATTAAAAAACAGATGAAAAAAAGGATGCAAATGGGGGAAAAAACGGATGTAAATGGATGAAAAAACGGATGTAAATGGATGAAAAAATGGATGTGAATGGATGAAAAAAAGGATGTGAATGGATGAAAAACGGATGAAAAAACGGATGTAAAAGGATTAAAAAACAGATGAAAAAAAGGATGTAAACGGATGAAAAAACGGATGCGAATGAATGAAAAAATGGATGTGAATGGATGAAAAAAACCGATGAAAAAAGGATGTGAATGGATGAAAAAAACGGATGTAAATGGCTGAAAAAGCAGATGTGAATGGATGAAAAAACAGATGTGAATGGCTGAAAAAACAGATGTGAAAGGATGAAAAAACAGATGTGAAAGGATGAAAAAAGGATGTGAAGACATCCACTTTTTCTTCGAAAAAAAGTGACTGAACTGATGAAAAAAAAAACGGAACGCCCGTGTGAAAGGACCCTTAAAAATATATAATGTTTTGGGGTTCTAAGTAATCTTCTAGAAAAAAAAAAAAAAAAAAAAAAAAAAAAACATTGTTACATGTAAACAAAAAAGTGAGTTTCTCCAAAAAGAAGCCATTTGGCGGTAAGGCCCATTGGTGTGAGCTCCAGTCTCACCTGGCTGGGAAGGTCTCCAGTTGGTTGTAGGCCAGATGCAGGACCCTGAGGTTGGCATGGATGGTCAGGAAAGGAACATACTGGTCCGATAAATGGTTGTTGGTTAGGTAGAAAGCTTGCAGCCTGGTCCCGCTCTCCTCTCCGCTGAACATTGACGGGAGGCTCTCCAGGATGTTTGCTGATGCGTTCAGGAACCTGAGACTGACAACAGACGGCCATATAAGTGGACACACCGGAGGTACTGACCACAAATGGAGTATGAGATACGGAAAGGTTGAACATGGTGTCCTTCACAGAAGTTTCTAGAAGTCTGAATAATACAGTGGTTCTCAAGCTGTGGGTCGCGACCCCTTTGGGGGTCGAACGACCCTTTCACAGGGGTCCCCTAAGACCATCAGAAAACACATATTTCCAATGTGTAAAGAGCAGCTACAGTGTTGAAAGCAGCTACTGTGTTGAAAGCAGCTACTGTGTTGAAAGCAGCTACTGTGTTGAAAGCAGCTACTGTGTTGAAAGCAGCAGTATTGGAGGTAAAACGACACTCATGAAGTATAATTACTGGGTAAATAATTTTATGGTTGGGGGTCACCACAACATGAGGAACTGTATTAAAGGGTCACGGCATTAGGAAGGTTGAGAACCACTGGAATAATATGAGAAAACTTACATATAAATTATAGGGGTGCACCAAAATTTTGATGGCTGAAACATTTCGGCCGAAAACACCCCTATCGGCCGTTGGCACCGATACAGGTGCCAAAAATAACCCTGCCCCCTCGCCGCCGCATGCCCGCAGCTGCTGCTTGGTAGTTCTCAGCCTCACCTGAGAAGCCACCAAATGATCCCGGCGCTGAGCATAGAGATAAGTGAAGGAAGGATGGCCTCCACTCATCTCTATGCCGGAGGACCGGAGCGACGTCACTTCCAGTTCCAGCGCCTTGTATAAAAGGCCTTTTTTTTTTTTAATCACTTGCCTTACAGAGGATCCCCCCCCCCCCTTCCTGACCAGGCCATTTTTTTTGTGTTACGGCGCTGCGTTACTTTAACTGACAATTGCGCGGTCATGCAACGCTGCACCCAAATTAAATTTTTAGCCTTTTTTTAGACAGATAAATCTTTCTTTTGGTGGTATTTATTCACCACTTGGATTTCTATTTTTTTGCTATATAAATGAAAAAAAAAACCAAAAAGTTTGCAAAAAAAAGTGTTTTTCTTACAAAATTTTGCAAATAAATCTTTCTTCATAAATCTTGGCCAAAATGTATTCAGCTATCTTTTTGGTAAAAAAAAAAAAAAATAACCAAAAGCAGTTTAGAAAAAAGTTATAATTTTACAAAAAATTTTTTATACATTATCTTATTTTTTTGATCTGTTTTTTTTTTGTTTTTTTTTTAATGTACTGTCACCCTAGCAGTACAGTGTCACCATAGTGACACTGTACTACTTGTGGGGGGTGACGGATTTTTTTTTTTTTTTCACACCGATTGCTTTTACACCCATAAAGGCTGTAAAAGCAATCATTTCTCCTTCTCTCTGGCTGCATTCCTGCTGCCATTGAGAAATACTGTGAGAGCTGTGATTGGTCACAGCTTGTCACATGGTACAAGGCTGTTGTGAATAGCCCTGTACCATGTGATCTCTGTGATCATTCACAGATTTCACTAGTAGTAAGCAATGCTGTCACAAGGGACATCTATTTCACTACTCTTCATTAGGCTAATCACCGATGATAGGAATCGGGACCTCACACTGCGGTCCCAATACATTGATCCTGTGGACACAGCGGGCACAGATTGCGGCGCCGTGCGCTCTCAGGGAACGCGCACAGGCAATGGATGGGGGGACATTTAGAAACGTCTCCCCTCATTGGCAACGCTCCTGTCCAGCCGTTTATCAGCAATGGGCCGGACGGAAAGAGGTTAAAGAAAATTCACATACGTAAAAAAATCCAAAACCTGCGACAAAAGTTCTCTGTGATTGTAAACGTCACATAAAGTGCTTCTATGCTCAAAAGTGCTCCTTGAAGGAAACAGCGGCCTCTCACCAGAAACGATCTCGAGTAATAGAGATCTGAAGCGCTTAAATCCGAAAATCCAGGCCAGCACTGTCGCTGCCGGAACAATTGATCGATGGAGTGTATGGACAAATCAAGTGTCAACCTCAAATATCGCTCTCCGCCATCGTATCCACAAAGCAGAAACAGGGAGAAGCTTGCCTAAGGATTGCACTTACATGTTGGGTGCCTAAATTCAAGCAGTGAAAAGCGGTAGGCCGCGGTGTGAGCCAACATGCAGGTACGTGATGACGTCACACTCAGACTCCGCTCAACGCGTTTCCCCAAACATGGCGTCCTGCCATCTCCAATCCCAGAGGACGCCAGTTTTGGGGAAATGCGTCAGGCAGAGTCTGAGTTTAGGCGTGGAAGTGGTTGTGGGGGGGATGAAAGGATATCCACTTTATAATGACTGCACATCCCCCTGTCTTTTTCTACGTCTACGGTCACAGCCCTTCTTCGCGGTCCCAGACGTGGCTACGATCGGTCTCCCGTGGACACTTACTTTAAAGCTACGGTGAAGAGGGGGTCTGGAAGGTGTCTCAGCATATTGTGCTGCACATCCAGGGTCTCCAGAGGAATCGACTCCACGGGGCAAGGCAGGCTCCTCAGCTGGTTGTGTCCAAGCATCAGCCTTCGCAGACTGGAAGAGCCCATTATCCTGCCGGGGAAAGAACAAAGTTAATAAAGACAGATAGACGGTTCCTAAGCTCGACTGCAGATTCAGCTTCTTGTGGCTGAAGACCGGTGCTCCGGCTATAGTGCTCCCGCACCGAAACCATGAGATTCTCGAGCCGGAAACTCGGTGTGGTCAGTAAAATCCAAATCTTTATTGGCTACATACTAAAATACACTAGTAACCTCCTAACGCGTTTCCACAGCCGAAACGCGTTGGTTGTTACCGGTGGGTTTAAGTATGCAGCCAAAAAGATTTGGACTTTATAAAACTACACCGAGTTGCCAGCTTATTTAACTACTTGCCGACCGCAGATAGCCGAATGACGGCTGCACTGCGGCCGGCCAGTTCTGGGTGGACGTCATATGACGGCCTCCCAGAACGCGCTCTCTTGCGTGCCCCGCTGTCAGATCGTGAGGAAAGTACTGCCGAAAACCGGCAGTTGTCAGAGCGGGGATCGGCACCGATCATCAGGGTCACTGATCATCAGTGCCCTGATGATCGGTGCCCAGCAGCGCCACACACAAGTTCCGCCCACATGTGCCCAGCAATGCACCCACCTGTGCCACCCAGCAATGCACCACCTGTGCCCAGCAGTGCGCCCACCTGTGCCCAGCAGTGCGCCCCACCTGTGCCACCCAGCAGTGTCACCACATGTGCCCATCAGAAGAGCAGTGCCACCTACCTGTGCCAGTAGTGCCACCCACCTGTTCCCGCCCTACACTGTGCCCACAGTGCCCATCAGTGCAGCTCAGCAGTGCTGCCAGTCAGTACCCTGCGGTTGTGCCAGTCAGTGCCCAGCAGTGATGTCAGTCAGTGCCACCTATCAGTGCTGTCTATCAGTACCCATTGTCAGTGTCGCCTATCAGTTTGCCACATATCAAAGTGCCACCTATCCATGACACCTCATTAGTGCTGCGCTATCAGTGCGCCCAGCCTATCCAAGCCACTCATTAGTGCTATTTCAGTGCCCTTCAGTGCTGCCTATCAGTGCCGCCTATCAGTGCTGCCTCATCCACGCACATCAGGGGTGAAGTAGGAAAAATTACCTGTTTTCAAAACTTCTGAAAAGTTTTAATAGGAGAACCAAAGAAACTTTTTTTTTTTGCAAATTTTTTTTGCAATTTGTTTGCTTATAGCAATCAAATTTGTAAAGTGCCTCAGAGGAGATTAAATACCACCAAAAGAAAAAGCCCTGCTCTATTTGTGAGAAAAAAATGATAAAAAAGCATGGTAAAGGTTCATATGGGTACCAATCTTGCATGACCCCTTGCCTTCTACCTAGTGTTTTTCAGCACAGTTTCTAGAGTGCCGTTCCTCTTTAAACCCCTTAACCCGCAATTGTCAATCAAAGTGCGACAGCACTGAAAGCTTAAAATTGGCCTGGTAATAAGGGGGTATAAGTGCCGAGAGCTGGTAGGCAAGTGGTTTAATGGAAAGGGCCCGATCTCCCCTTTTCCAACCATGTGACCGCCATGACAGAGAATCACGGCGGTCACCTGACCCTAAAACCCCACCCTGCATCTCGGCATCTGAAACCCCTTAAAGGGCCGGGAGGTGGCGGCGCAAAGGGGTTTAAAGTAGTTGAAAAGCCTGAAGGTATTTGACCTTCAGGCATTGTATGCATGAAGGTAAAAAAAACCATCAGTATGCAGCTTCACCTGCAACCGCCTTTCCCCTCAATACTTACCCAAGCCCAATCCCGATCCAGCGATGTGCATGAGAGCAGCTGCTGTCCTGGCTCTCTGTCTCCTCATTGGCTCAGAGGCTATTGGCTCCCGCTGCTTAAAGAACAGGGCAGAGCCTCGTTTGTGTATCTTGAGGACACACAAAGCGGGGCTCAGAAGCGAGCACACAAGAGTGCCCCCACAGCAAGCAGCTTGCTCTGGGGGGATTCGGCAGGGGGGAAGAGACCAGAGAACCATTGGGGCACCTGAAAAGAGGAGAATAGGAGCTGCTCTGTGCAAAGCCCTAGCGCAGAACAGGTAAGTAGAACATCTTCGTTATGTAAAAAAAAGTAAGCCTTCACTTTAAGGCCAAATACAAGGCCAATCTTTTAGGCAAAACTCGAGGACTTCCACTAAAAGTCGCTGATCGCCGCCATTACTAGTAGAAAATAAAAAAATCCCAGTGTCTATACCGCCATTTGTAGACGCTATAACTTTCACGTAAACCAATTAATTTACACAAATTGTGATTTTTTTTTAGCGAAGACACGGAGCAGAATACTTTTTGGCGTAAATTTATGACAAAATTTAACTACATTTTTTTTTTTTTTTGCTAGACATGTTTTATAGCAAAAAGTCCAAAATACTGTTTTTTTTTCTCAAAATTGTCAGTCTTTTTTTGCTTATAGCGCAAAAAAAAAAAAAACCCAAAAAGCACAGCGGATCAAATACCACCGACAGAAAGCTCAATTCGTGGCAAAAAAATAATGTAGATTTTTATTTGGGTGCAGCGCTGCATGACCGTGCAATTGTCAGATGAAGTGACGCAGTGCCGCAACACAAAAAATGGCCTGGTCGGGGGGGGGGGGGGTGGATCCTTTGGAGGACGAGGGGTTAAGGGGGGGGGAGAGGGGGGCACTCTGGTCCAATTAAAATAAAGATGAAAATTTGCATCAGAAGATAAACAGTCCTAAAAAGATTCCATTTAATAAAAAGGTGAAAATCCTCCACTGCCCCCAGCTCAGCCTTTCTAGTACCTGAGAGGAAGTTCTGTTATCGCGTTCCAGCTAAGATCAGCAGCTTCCAGCTTCTTGGCCTCACATATCCACTCCGGCACCAACGATAGACAGTTCCTGCAACAGACACACAGTGTTCAAGGGTCTCAGAACTGAAAGTGGTTCTAAAGGCAGGAGGGGGTTTTTTATCTTCATGCATAGTTACCTGAGCCCCATCTTAGTCCAGGGATGTGCACAGGAGCCCCGGCTCCCCCCCTCATCATTGGCTTACACACCGCAGCGGGAGCCATTGGCCAGCCAGTGATGAAGGAAAGGGAGGGTGGGCGTGTCTCATGGATGCAGAGAGCAGAGCTCAGGAGCAAGCACGCACCAGTGCCCCCACAGCTTGCTTGGAAAGAGAGGGAAAGAGAGAGGGGGGGGGGAGAGATAGAGGAAGGGGGGGGAGAAAGGGGGGAGAGAGAAAAGAGGGAGGGGGGGAGAGAGAAAGAGGGAGGGGGGGGAGAGAGAAAGAGGGAGGGGGGGAGAGAGAAAAGAGGGAAGGGGGGAGAGAGAAAGAGGGAAGGGGGGAGAGAGAAAGGGGGGAGAGAGAAAGGGGAAGGGGGGGGAGAGAGAAAGAGGGAAGGGGGGGGGAGAGAGAAAGAGGGAAGGGGGGAGAAAGAAAGAGGGGAAGGGGGGAGAGAGAGAAAGAGGGAAGAGAGGGAGAGAGAGAGCAAGAGGGAAGGGGGGGGGGAGAGAGCAAGAGGGAAGGGGGAGAGAGAGGAGGGAAGAAAGAGGAAAAAAAGAGAGGAGAGAGATAAGGAGAGAGGGCAAAAGAGAGAGAGAGAGGGGGGGGGAGAGAGGGGGGAGAGGGGAGGAGGAGGAGGAGAGAGGGGGGAGAGAGGAGAGGAGAGGGGGGGAGAGAGAGGGGGGAGGAAGGAGGGGGAGGGGGGAGAGGGAGGAAGAGAGAGAGAAAGAGGGGGGAAGAGAGAGAGAAAGAGGGGGGAAGAGAGGGGGGGGAGAAGAAGGGGGAAGAGAGGGGGGGGGAGAGGGGGGAGAAGGGGGGAGAAAAGAGGGGGGAAGAGGGGGGGGGGAGAAAGAGGGGGGGGGGAAGAGAGGGGGGAGAGAAAGAGGGGGGAAGAGAGGGGGGAGAGAAAGAGGGGGGAAGAGAGGGGGGAGAGAAAGAGGGGGGAAGAGAGGGGGGAGAGAAAGAGGGGGGAGAGAAAGAGGGGGGAAGAGAGAAAGAGGGGGGAAGAGAGGGGGGAAGAGAGAGAGGGGGGAGAGAAGGGGGGAAAGAGGAGGGGGAAGAGGGGGGGAGAGGGGGGAGAGAGGGGGGGGAAAGAGGGGGGGAAAGAGGGGGGGAGGGAAAGAGGGGGGGAGCGAGAGGGGGGGAGGGAAAGAGGGGGGGGGGAGGAGGGGGGGGGGGAGGGAGAGGAGGGGGGGAAGGGGGGGGGGAGAGAAAGAGGGGGGAAAGGGAGAGAGAGGGGGGAAGGGGGGGGAGAGAAAGAGGGGGGAAAGGGGGGAGAGAGAGGGGGGGGGGGGAGAGAGAGAGGGGGGAAAGGGGGGGAGAGAGGAGGGGGGAAAGGGGGGGAGAGAGGGGGGAAAGGGGGGGAGAGAGGAGAGGGGGGGAAAGGGGGGAGAGAGGGGGGGAAGAGAGAGGGAGAGAGCGAGGGGGGAGGAGAGGGAGGGGGAAAGAGAGAGGGGGAGAGAGAGGGAGGGGGAGAGAGAGAGGGGGAGAGAGAGGGGGGAGAGAGAGGAGGGGGGAGAGAGAGAGAGGGGGAGAGAGGGGGGAGAGAGAGGGGGGAGAGAGGGGGGGGGAGAGAGAGAGAGAGGGGGGGAGAGAGAGAGAGAGAGGGGGAAGAGAGAGAGAGAGGGAAGAGAGAGAGAGGGGAAGAGAGAGGGGGGGGGGAAAGAGAGAGGGGGGGGGAAGGAGAGAGAGAGAGGGGGGGGGGGAGAGGAGGAGAGAGAGAGAGAGGGGGGGGGGAAGGAGAGAGAGGGGGGAAAGGAGAGAGAGAGAGAAGGGGAAAGAGCGAGAGAGAGAAGGGGGGGAAGGGAGAGTGGGGAGAGAGAGAAGGGGGGTGGGGGGAGAGAGAGAGGGGGTGAGAAGGGGAGAGAGGAGGGGGGTGGGGGGAGAGAGAGGGGGGGGGGGGGGGGAGAGAGAGAGGAGGGGGTGGGGGGGTGAGACAGGGGGGTGGGGGGAGAGACAGGGGGGTGGGGGGAGAGACAGGGGGGGTGGGGGAAGAGGGGGGGTGGGGGGTAGAGGGGGGGGGGGGGGGGGGATAGAGAGAGAGGGGGGGGGGGAGAGGGAAAGAAAGAAAAGGAAGGAGAGCGCGCGCACGAGAGAGCTGTTGTACGATTGTCACCCTCACCTGATATTGCTCAGAGTGGACTGGCCCTGTAAATACAAAACACGCATGCGCAGGTGTCTACATACCACCCTGTATCCACTTACCTAGACAGGTCTAAAGTGTGGAGCAGAGAAGGCGCCAGGTAGACGTTCACCGAGGTCAGCCCTGCAGAACAAGACAGCAAATACAGATACAGTGTGAGCAATGGGAATCAGAACAGTGGGGACACAGTGGAGGATAACATGAAAAACCTACTGTTGGAGCCGGCATAGATGGCCCGCAGGGAGAAGCCGCACAGCCTCAGTTCCATCAGCTGGTTCCGTTCGCAGTGCAGTTGCTCCAGGTTCCCCATACAGCCAAGGTCCAGGGAGGACAGCTGGTTATCTCGCACATCGACATGCGTGATATGGTTGATTCCCTCCATGCTGGCGGTCACTTGAGTCAAGCGATTCATCCTGTGGGAGTAGCAGATGACAGAGTGGAAGTTCAATTCACAATGACAAGACAGCCAGTCCTGAGTCCTAGAGACTGATCTGTGTACACAGGACTGACAACCAAATACATGGCCGTGTGGTCTCTGTGCCAGCGTGACAGTCCAGGGAGCAGATGCTGGCCCCGGATGATGCCTGAAAAAGAGAAATCTCCTGCGGCCCTGGTGCCCAACCTGCAGCCTGGGGGACGCATGCAGCCCTTTGACACTTTATGTGCCGCCCTCTGGACTCCTGCAGACATTAACCTGTTTCCCTATTTGCCCTGTTACAGCAGAGATTTCTAGCAGTCTCATGTAATATGTCTCCAATCAAGGACTGTCTTCTGAAGCAAGTCCCCAGTCTCCAACTACTACATCCTGTTCATAGTCTCTGACCGTCTCCTACAACATGTTCGCAATCTCCGGTCATCTCCTGTATCATGTCCGTGCAGTCTCTGAGTCATCTCCTGTATCATGTCCGCAGTCTCTGACCATCTCCTGTATCATGTCCGCAGTCTCCAGTCATCTCTTGTATCATGTCCGCAATCTCCAGTCATCTCTTGTATCATGTATCATGTCCGCAGTCTCCGACCATCCCTTGTATCATGTCTGCAGTCTCCGACCATCCCTTGTATCATGTCTGCAGTCTCTGACCATCCCTACATCATGTCCGCAGTCTCCAGTCCATCTCTTGTATCATGTCTGCAGTCTCCGACCATCTCTTGTATCATGTCCGCAGTCTCCAGTCATCCCTTGTATCATGTCTGCAGTCTCCGAGTCATCTCTTGTATCATGTCTGTCCGCAGTCTCCATCATCCTTGTATCATGTCTGCAGTCTCCAGTCATCTCTTGTATCATGTCCGCAGTCTCCAGTCCGTCTCTTGTATCATATCCGCAGTCTCCAGTCATCTCTTGTATCATGTCCGCAATCTCCAGTCATCTCTTGTATCATGTCCGCAGTCTCCGACCATCTCTTGTATCATGTCCGCAGTCTCCAGTCATCCCTTGTATCATGTCTGCAGTCTCCAGTCATCTCTTGTATCATATCCGCAGTCTCCAGTCATCTCTTGTATCATATCCGCAGTCTCCAGTCATCTCTTGTATCATATCCGCAGTCTCCAGTCATCTCTTGTATCATATCCGCAGTCTCCAGTCATCTCTTGTATCATGTCCGCAATCTCCAGTCATCTCTTGTATCATGTCTGCAGTCTCTGGTCCGTCTCCTACAACATGTCCGTAGTCTCCGATCATCCCTTGTATCATGTCTGCAGTCTCTGACCGTCTCCTACAACATGTCCGTAGTCTCCGATTCATCCCTTGTATCATGTCTGCTGCAGTCTCTGACCGTATCCTATGTCCGCAGTCTCCGGCCATCCCTTGTATCATGTTCGCAGTCTCCGACCATCTCTTGTATCATGTCTGCTGTCTCCGACCATCTCTTGTATCATGTCCGCAGTCTCTGACCATCTCCTGTACCATGTTGGCAGTCTCTGACCATCTAAGCTATGTTATATAAATGTTAAATGTGCCTAAGCAGCACCCTGAAAGCTACACCTCCTGTTTAAAATTCCTCCTGAAAAATAGCAGAGCACATCCTGACCTGCCAAGGCACCGCTGTTCTGACCCCTCAGACCCCTCATAGCTGTATATCTCCAGCGTCAGATCTTTTAGGACTCTAGTGCCTCTAACTGTAAGTTTCACCAGATTTGGAGTGATTTGTTCTCCTTGCTGGAGAGGAAGCTATACCTGAGGCCCTACAATACAAGAATTCTCCCTGCTACTGCTTCATTTGTTCTGTGTATCTGTGCTTCCTTCACCACTCTTGCTGCTTCTTACCTATTACCCCACCAGTCATCAGGGGGCAGCTCTGACATGAGGAAGCAAAGCCCTACCTCTACCAAGATGGTCGCTTCCACACAAGGACAAAACATTGCAGAACAAGGCATTGTAAGTCAGTAATGAAGAAATGGTCAGCAGCAGGAAGACACACAGGCAATAATGCTGAAAGTCCTTCGTCCTCTACCTGCCCTTATTATGGGCACAGTTCAGGTCCTCTAAGGACAGAAGCAGCACAAAGCCAAGGTGGAGACCTTTGTGGGCTTTATATATTAAAATGGACATGTCTATTGCTCTCATACGTGTCCTGTTACATATCAAGAACCCAGCAGCTTACCGCAAGTCTATGACCTTCACATGCGCCATGGTCACGAGTGTCTGCAGGTTAAGAAGCTCCAGTTGGTTCCCGCCATACACAACTTCTCCACAGAGGAAAGGTTCTCAAACACCTTCGGAATGGTCGTCAGGTCATTGAACGCAAGGCCAAGGCTGGTCAGCTGCAGTAGGGACCCCAGCCCGTCCGGCAATGATGTCAGCGAGTTCCCATCAAGGTTAAGCGTCTGCAGGCTGCATGTGAAGTAGAAGAAAATATTTTATAACTTACAGTATTTTAACAGCTTGCCGACCACCTTGCATACAAGTTCGGCGGCCAGAGCGGCTCTTCTGCGCTGGATCCCGTATTTAGTACGTGATCCAACACTTTCGGGAAGGGGGGCGCACCTTCTATCACAGCACAAGCCAATCAGGATGATCAACAAAGAGGGCGAAAGGTCAGAGCTCTGTGGTTGTAAACAACACAGAGTTCTGTCCTGACAGCGGGATGAGCCAGTTTTTGTTTCCCTGCGAAAGCAGGGAATAAAAAATGGCACATCCCTTAGTAAAATCACAACCTAGTGAACACACCAAGCACTGTTAGGCCCACAGCTAACCCTTTCATTGCCCCTAGATGTTAACCTCTTCCCAGACAGTGTCAATGTATATTAGCACTAATCACTGTACTAGAGTCACTGGTTTCCACAAAAATGTCAGTTAGTGTCAGATTGCCTGCCGTACTATCACCATCCCGCTATAAGCCTTCAGACTGTAAGCTCCATGAGCAGGGCCCTCCTATTCCTTCTGTACTGAACTGTGTTTTTTCTGTGTTTTATCCCTTTATATTGTACAGCGCTGAGCAAACTGTTGGCGCTATATAAATCCTGTATTATAATAATAATATAAAAGTTTCTGATCAATGCCATTACTAGTATAAAAAATAATGCGTACCATAGTTTGTAGACGCTATAACATTCGCTCAAACCTATCAATATACACTATTAGGCTTTTTTTTTTTTTTTTACAAAAAATATTATTATTATACAGGATTTATATTATTATTATTATACAGGATTTATATTATTATTATTATTATTATACAGGATTTATATTATTATTATACAGGATTTATATTATTATTATTATACAGGATTTATATTATTATTATTTTACAGGATTTATATTATTATTATGATACAGGATTTATATTATTATTATTATACAGGATTTATATTATTATTATTATTATTATTATTATACAGGATTTATATTATTATTATTATTATACAGGATTTATATTATTATTATTATACAGGATTTATATTATTTATTTTTACAGGATTTATATTATTATTATTGATACAGGATTTATATTATTATTATACAGGATTTATATTATTATTATTATGATACAGGATTTATTATTATTATTATACAGGATTTATTATTATTATTATTATACAGGATTTATATTATTATTATTATTATAATACAGGATTTATATTATTATTATTATTATACAGGATTTTATATTATTATTATTATTATACAGGATTTATATTATTATTATACAGGATTTATTATTATTATTTAATAATACAGGATTTATTATTATTATTATTATTACAGGATTTATATATTATTATTATTATTTATTATTATTTATTATACAGGATTTATATATTATTATTATACAGGATTTATATTATTATTATACAGGATTTATATTATTATTATACAGGATTTATATTATTATTATTATACAGGATTTATGGCGCCAACAGTTTGCTCAGCGCTTTACAATATAACGGGAGACAATACAGCAACAATACAGTTCAATACAAGAGGGTTAGGAGGGCCCTGATCCTGGGAGCTTACACTCTAGGAGGGAGGGGCTAGTGGTACAAAAGGTAGTAACTGTGGGGGATGGACTGGTAGGAGGAATAGAAGATTCCAGTATTAGCTGAGGGGCAGGATAGGCTTCCCTGAAGAGATCGGTTTTCAGAGATCGCCTAAATTTGTAGCAGAAAACATTTTGGCCTAAATTAATAAAGATACATTTTATTTTATTTTTATGGGATAGGTAATATAACAGAAAGTAAAAATGTTTGTTTTTCAAAATTTTTGCTCTTTTTTTTTTCCATTTATAGAATAGAAATTAAAAAAAAAAAAAAAAACCCCAGTGATCAAGTACCATAAAAAAAGTGTGAAAAAAAGTGATATACCAACCCCCGAACCCCCACCTCTTTTGTTTTTTTTTAGGCTCTCACCTTCCCTCCCCATATTTTTTTTTTTGCCTGGATTATTGTGTACGGGTCGAAGTGCTTACACTGTTATACAAGTCCTTGAGCATGGCTTGTATTGCTGTGTGACTTCCTTGTACAGTATTCCTATCTTGTTATTGATTGTAAAACTTAATAAAACTCTTACGGAACAAAAAAAAAAAAGTGATAAAAATTTCATTTGAGTACACTGTCGCATGACCGATAAATTGTCAGTTAAAGTAACGCAGTGCCAAAACAAAAAAAAAAAAAAATAGTAGAATAAATAAGTGGCCTGGTCATGAAGGGGGGTAAAATCTCCTGGAGGGTCAGCGGTTTTTAAACAATTTCTTCAACCAACGTTTGATCCGGCGGCCGTTTTTGTAGCGATTCAAAGAGGCAACAGATGAACCCGGAACGGACAACGGATGAACCCGCAACGGACAACGGACGAACCCGCAACGGACAACGGATGAACCCGCAACGGACAACGGATGAACCCGCAACGGACAACGGATGAACCCAGAACGGACAACAGATGAACCCGGAACGGACAACGGGTGAACCCGCAACGGACAACGGGTGAACCCGCAACGGACAACGGGTGAACCCGCAACGGACAAACGGGTGAACCCGCAACGGACAACGGGTGAACCCGGAACGGACAACGGGTGAACCCGGAACGGACAGTGGATGAAACCCGGAACGGACAGTGGATGAACCCGGAACGGACAGCGGATGAACCCGGAACGGACAGCAGATGAACCCGGAACGGACAGCAGATGAACCCGGAACGGACAGCAGATGAACCCGGAACGGACAGCAGATGAACCCGGAACGGACAGCAGATGAACCCGGAACGGACAACAGATGAACCCGGAACGGACAACAGATGAACCCGGAACGGACAACAGATGAACCCGGAACGGACAACAGATGAACCCGGAACGGACAACAGATGAACCCGGAACGGACAACAGATGAACCCGGAACGGACAATAGATGAACCCGGAACGGACTGCCGTTTGAAGGAACACACGACATGAAACATGATCATCTTTCAAAAATATATTCATTGGGATCTCTTCTTGTGAAAGGCGACTTACCTGAGCAGCTGTCCAATTTGCAGAGGTATTTGTGTCAGCCCATTGCAGGAGACATTGAGCTCGGTGAGTGTGGCTATCTGGCATAGTTCAGAGGGGAGATCTCCCAGCTTGTTCTGGGACAGATTGAGAACCTTCAGCTGTGAGAACCTGAGCAAAAAAAAAACCCACAAAGACAGGTCAAGCTTTAGTCATGCCCGGACCTCAGTGCCCCTCCCAGGGAGAGCGGTGCAGGGAATACGAGTACCTGCAGAGACTGTTCACTCCGGATGGACTCTGCAGCTGCAGGAAGTTGTGGCGGAGGTTCAGCGACGTGACGTCCTGGCAGTAGAAGAGGTGCTCGGGAATCTCTTCTAGGCTCTGACAGGAGAGGTCAACGGTGCTCAGCCTCTGGGATACGACCTGGAACCGAAACATAGAACGCCTCCTAAATATAATCTTTAAAGCCATTAACATTCCCCTCATATGGTCCTGCCCAAATATTCAGATGTACTGGGAACAAATCATTAGGTTCCTGCATGACCATGTGGGCTCTCCTCTACAATTAGATCCTAAGGCGGCCTTTCTCAACCTTTTCAATGCAGAGGAACCCTTGACACAACTTTCCAGTCTCAGGGAACCCCGGCTAAAAGTATCCACAAATCATGATACATTAGTGTGATAGTCATTCCACTACACCAGAATTCATTGTTTGGAGACCCCGAAGATTGCTGGATTTCTGTGCCAATATTCGAGGACCCCTTCAGTGTCAGGGTTCTTCTATTCTGAGAACCCCTCTAGTGTCAGGTTTCTTCTATTCTGGGACCCCCACGGTGTCAGGGTTCTTCTATTCTGGGACCCCCCCCGTCAAGATTCTTCTATTCTGGGACCCCCCCGTCAAGATTCTTCTATTCTGGGACTCTTCAGTGTACGGTCCCCAGAAGGCTTCTTGCACTTGTGAACATTGGGAAGAATTACCCCCTTGCAGACAGCTAAAAAGATCAATGGTGTCAGAAGGAACTTACCAGAGAGGAAAAAATAGCTCATTGCTCAAGGAACCCCCAATAACCTCCTAAATAAACCCCCAATAAACCCTGTCCTAAAGTATGTCTGCTCGGCCTCCTTCCGGACCTGCCTGAGGATAAGTCCCTAGTCACCCTTTTACACAAATCCCTATTCAGCGCCCGGAAATTAGTTGCACGCCACTGGATGCAGGCAACTGTCCCTACCCAGGGCCCAATTTGGACCTTGTCACTTAGGGTTGGACTCACTTTCTGGTGGTCCGGGGGAGAGCGGATATAGTGAATGCGGGGTCCGGGGAGAGTGGATATAGTGAATGCGGGGTCCGGAGAGAGCGGATATAGTGAATGCGGGGTCCGGAGAGAGCGGATATAGTGAATGCGGGGTCCGGGGAGAGCGGATATAGTGAATGCGGGGTCCGGGGAGAGCGGATATAGGGAATGCGGGGTCCGGGGAGAGCGGATATAGTGAATGCGGGGTCCGGGGAGACCGGTTACAGTGAATGCGGGGTCCGGGGGAGAGCGGATATAGTGAATGCGGGGTCCGGGAGAGCGGATATAGTGAATGCGGGGTCCGGGGAGAGCGGATATAGTGAATGCGGGGCCCGGGGAGAGCGGATATAGTTAATGCGGGGTCCCGGGGAGAGCGGATATAGTGAATGCGGGGTCCGGGGAGACCAGATATAGTGAATGCGGGGTCCGGGGAGACCAGATATAGTGAATGCGGGGTCCGGGGAGACCAGATATAGTGAATGCGGGGTCCGGGGAGAGCGGATATAGTGAATGCGGGGCCCGGGGAGAGCGGATATAGTGAATGCGGGGTCCGGGGAGAGCGGATATAGTGAATGCGGGGTCCGGGGAGAGCGGATATAGTGAATGCGGGGTCCGGGGAGAGCGGATATAGTGAATGCGGGGTCCGGGGAGAGCGGATATAGTGAATGCGGGTCCGGGGAGAGCGGATATAGTGAATGCGGGGTCCGGGGAGAGCGGATATAGTGAATGCGGGGTCCGGGGGAGAGCGGATATAGTGAATGCGGGGTCCGGGGAGAGCGGATATAGTGAATGCGGGGTCCGGGGAGAGCGGATATAGTGAATGCGGGGTCCGGGGAGAGAGAATATAGTGAATGCGGGGTCCGGGGAGAGCGGATATAGTGAATGCGGGGTCCGGGGAGAGCGGATATAGTGAATGCGGGGTCCGGGGAGAGCGGATATAGTGAATGCGGGGTCCGGGGAGAGCAGATATAGTGAATGCGGGGTCCGGGGAGAGCGGATATAGTGAATGCGGGGTCCGGGGAGAGCGGATATAGTGAATGCGGGGTCCGGGGAGAGCGGATATAGTGAATGCGGGGTCCGGGGAGAGCGGATATAGTGAATGCGGGGTCCGGGGAGAGCGGATATAGTGAATGCGGGGTCCGGGGAGAGCGGATATAGTAAATGCGGGGTCCGGGTTTAGTAACACCTTAATATCTCATCTGCCCTCCTTACTTTAGTAGCTTGGCGGTGCCATCTCTGGTACTCTGCGGCCGAGTCGAAGCTGACGTGGTAGGTGGGAGCTTGTGCTTCAGCAGCAGAGCAGAAGGCCAGGCAGTGCGGTCTCCTCTTCACCTCCTCTATCTAAAAGGGGGGTACAAGGCAAATACAGATTATTTTAAAGCTGAAATCCAGGCAAACAACTTAATCACTCCCCCCCCCCCCCCCTGTTTACCCCCAATGGACCAGAGCAATTTTTACATTTCTGCTATGGACCTGCTTATTCGGCATTCACTTTGTCATCACTAAAGATAAGAGAATACATTCAGTATTTTTTTTTTTTTTTTAGGACAAACAAGGCTTTCTTTGAACTATATTGTCTTACAGCCATGACTTTCTTTTTCGCATTCCTTAAACAATAAAATGTAACAATACTAAACAAAGCACACTTTGTCTCTTTTTTTTTGAGCAGCGTTAGTTTTAAAATAAATAGTGTTACTGCTGATAAAAAGTGCGCATTTTATTCTGCAATTGTTCCTTTTCAAAAAGACACTAAATTTATGATTCTGGTACAAATCATTGCAAAGTTATTTACAAAGGAATTAAACAGTTTTTTTTTTTTTTTTTCAATTTCACGCTTTTTTAAATGTGAAACGTAAAAAATATGTTAAAGGTGTAAAAATATTAATGAAAAAAATAAACAAAAAAAGTTTAAATATTAATGTTTAATAAAATAGAAAAGAACAACACAAAAAAATCAGCAGGAAAATAATAGTTGAATGGAGAAACCGAACAAGGAGGTAATTAGGGCTGAGTAGCGTAAACTAATGCAGGCCATAGATGGGTCGAAAATCGGCCGATTTTCGGATCGTTAGTGGGCTATTTGGTCGGCCGTTTTTCGGTATTTTGGCCGTTTTTTTTTTTCTGTAAAGTTGGAAAAAAATCGGCCGATTTTGCAGATCGGCCGATTTTCGCGGCAATTAGTGGGCAAATCGGCCGATTTTTTGCCGATAAAAAATCTGCGCATGAGCAGTGACCTGCAAGAGGAAGACAAAAAGAAGAAAAAGAAGAAGAGGAAGAGGATGAAGAAGAGGATGAAGAAGAGGAAGAGGAAGAAGAAGAAGAAGAAGAAGAAGAAGAGGATGAGGAAGAAGAAGAAGAAGAAGAAGAAGAAGAGGATGAGGATGAGGATGAAGAAGAAGAAGAAGAGGAAGAAGAAGAAGAGGATGAGGATGAAGAAGAAGAGGATGAAGAGAGGATGAGGATGAAGAAGAAGAGGATGAGGATGAAGAAGAAGAGGATGAGGATGAAGAAGAAGAAGAGGAAGAAGAGGATGAGGGTGAGGAAGAAGAAGAAGAAGAAGAAGAAGAAGAGGATGAGGAAGAAGAAGAGGAGGATGAGGAAGAAGAAGAAGAGGAAGAAGAAGAGGATGAGGATGTAGAAGAAGAAGAAGAGGATGAGGATGATGAAGAAGAAGAGGGTGAGGATGAAGAAGAAGAAGAAGAGGATGAGGAAGAAGAGGAGGAGGAGGAGGAGGATGAAAGAAGAAGTGGATGAGGATGAGGAAGAAGAAGAGAGGATAAGGATGAGGAAGAAGAAAGAGGAGGATAAGGATGAAGAAGAAGAAGAGAGGACGAGGATGAAGAAGAAGAGGATGAGGAAGAAGAAGAAGAAGAAGAAGAAGAAGAAGAAGAAGAAGAAGAGGATGAGGATGATGAAGAAGAAGAGGATGAGGAAGAAGAGGATGAGGATGAGGAAGAAGAGGGATGAGGAGGATGAAGATGAAGAAGAAGAGGATGAGGATGAGGAAGAAGAGGAGGAGGAGGAGGAGGATGAATAAGAAGAAGTGGATGAGGAAGAAGAAGAGGAGGATAAAATGAAGAAGAAGAAGAGGATGAGGATGAAGAGAAGAAGAGGACGAGGATGAAGAAGAAGAAGAGGATGAGGAAGAAGAAGATGAAGAAGAGGATGAGGATGAAGAAGAAGAGGATGAAGAAGAGGATGAGGATGAAGATGAAGAAGAAGATGAAGAAGAGGATGAGGATGAAGAAGAAGAAGAGGATGAGGATGAGGATGAAGAAGAAGTAGGATGAAAATAAGAAGAATTCCAGTCCAGCAAAAAGTGTCTCTGCAGAGAGCTCAGCTATTTCTGACAGTTCTTTGACAGTTCTTCACATTTACAGCGGTTGCAACAATGTATCTATTTGTTTCCGAATAAAAACATCTGTATCCTAAATGGAAACAAATAGATACAATGTTTCAACCGCTGTAAATGTGAAGGAACTGTCAGAGAACTGTCAGAAATAGCAGAGCTCTCTGCAGGGACACTTTTTGCCGGCTGTAGAAGGGATGAAAATCGGCCGATTTTTTTTTACCATTGATGGTAACGTCGGCCACTTGAACGACCGAATTTTCGTTTTTTAAAAGAAAAATCTGCCGTTTTTCGACCCATCTATGGCCTGCATTAGTGTTAATAAGGGGTTAAACAGAACATTTTCTTAAAATAAAAAAAGTTACCTTTTGACTTGTGAAGTTGCATTGACAGACATGGTCTGCAAGTCGAAGTAAAAAACAGAAGTACAGGCAAAGCTCGTTTGGCTGTACTTCTCTTGTGGATCACAGGAATGCAGTTTGTTCTTCACTCCTGTGACCCGTTTTGAGCTGACAGCGGGTGGACGTCACTCAGCCAGTCCAGGCTGGGGAAAGATCCCGACTTTAAAGTCGGGATCCACCCCAGAGTCTGGAGTGGCACCTGCCAAGCTGCTGGGAGCCTGAGCCAGACGCTCCCTCCCCCTCCACAGCCCAGCGCTCCAGTGAGCTTGGGGGACGGGACAGCCACCGCTCTCTGCTCAGAGCGGCTGTGAGAACTCAGCGATCAGCGGTCATGTGATTGCTGAGTTCTCACCCTTAGAACCAGCGGGGGACAGATGCTGCATCGACCTAGGTAAGTATGATTGGGGAACAAAAAGCAATCCCCTACTTCTCGTTTAATCCTTTTGATCTACAGATAAATGTACAGACTGATACAAAAGTAACAATGTGTTACATTGTATTTTTGTATAGTCTGAGTGTTATTGATAAAGGTCAGACTGCTTGTTTGGACAGGTGCCGACCTTCTCTGTGTACACAGCAATGCCGGCTTTCATTAATCAGCACCAAAAATTGATTACTGGGAGGGGGAGGTCCTGACAAACCAGCAGAGAGACTGGACATGCTATACATGTCCTGTGTACAATGACCTGTTTTTGGGCATGTGTAGCACGCCCAAAAACTGCAACTAGACTATATGGTCAGACTGCTTTTTTTTGACAGTTGAAGGTGCCGACCTTCTCTGTGTACGCAGCAATGCCGGCTTTGATTAATCAGCACCAAAAATTGTTTACTGGGAGGGGGAGGTCCTGGCAAACAGGCAGAGAGTCTGGACATGCTACACATGTCCTGTGTACAATGATGACCTGTTTTGGGGCATGTGTAGCACGCCTCAAAAACTGCAACTAGTAAATAAAGACACAAATAAATAATACCGATAAGATGCGAGCTATATTGCCTGCCAATTTTGTATAATTTGTGACTGAGGATTACAACGGCTCTTTGTTTTAAAATAAAAGCTTGCCTTAACGGTCTCGGAGATTTTTTTTTTTATAGGGGAATCAGTCACAAACAAGCATTAGTAAGAATCTGAATGCCCACTCTTAGGCTGGGATAATAGTGCGGTGGTAGCTCGAGGGGATTGCTGGATGGATCAATATTCACTTTTATCCTCTTCCAATCGTAGCAAAAGATGTCATTTCAGTGACCTGCCAGAGTTTACAGCTCATAACTGACACGCATGGGTCGCTGGAAGAGGGAACGCTATTGTGTAAAGCTTTATGCGTTCCTTAAAGCTGAATTGCAGGAATTCAACTCCACAGAACACTCCCCTTCTCCTCATCATCATATAATAAGGTGGTGGTGTTGGGGGGGGCAGGAGGTAGAGGTGGGGGGATGTTCAGTAGTCCAACTGGGGAGAACTCGGTGGCAGAAAACAACTTTGCTTGGGATTTCAGTGCAGCGGAGGCAGACTGCCCGTGAACTTGGAGTCTCATTAGTTTTCTGTTTATAAAGCTGAATTCCAGGAATTCAGCCACAAGTTAAGTCCAAGGAGGTTCCTGACATCTCCTGGACTTATCTCTATTGTCTACTGTATTGTCTACATACAGTTTTATTGCACTTCTGGAAGACAGCAATTGCTGTATTTCCGGGAGCACAACTGCTGATGCTTCCAGACTAAGCATCTTCAACATCAAAGCCCGGGAAGCTGCTATTCCCGCCCCTTCCCCCATCCACCTGCCCAATCACAGAAGCCTTTGCATTATGTGAATGTATTCACAAATACAAAGGCTTCTATGAATGGGAAGCAAAGGGGAGGGGCAGTCTTGCTGCTCTGTGTGCTTCTTTCTCCTCTCTCACAACCCTGAGTGTCAGTGTAAACTCTAGCAGAGCCAGACACCTGTCAGATGAAAATAACAGAGACAGGTTCAGGAGATGTCATGCACCTGCTTGGACTGAACTCATAGTGTGCCTTCGCTTTTTACAAAATGGCTAAATTCCTGGAATTCAGCTCTAAAGAGTATCTTAACCCCTTCACGCCGGTGCCTCCCGGCCCTTTAAGAATTTCAGAAGCCGGGAGGTGGAGCGGCGGTCACATGATCGGGAAAGGTCCCGATCGAAAGAGGAGATCGGGACCTTTCCGTGAGTACCGGACATGTGTGCTGGGTGCGCGCTCTCGGCACATATGTCCTTTTTTTAATAGGACGCAAATGTGCAGCCGCTCAGCGTCTAGGCCCAGACGCCGGGAGGCCGCACATTTGCGTTCAGCTGGCGTGGAGAGGTTAAAGACTAAGTTTAGTCAAAATAAAAAAAAATCAGCACAAGGGACATTACTTTGTATTGATCCAATGTGTCCCTTGTCCTGCTGGCTCCTGCTGTCATTGAAATATCCATCCTCCAAACCCCCCTACCCCCGCCGTTATGACAGGCTCCCATCAAGAGTACCTGACTATGCCCACCCCTTCTGCTCAGCTCCGGGGCCACTCTGAAATTATGTGTAGTGGTTGTGGTACGGTGGCATAGCTTTTTAGTGGTTGAAACAGGCAGTAGGGGGCGA